CCCCTGCCTCTGCTTCCGGAGGCCATGAGGGAGCCGTAGGCCAGGCCTCTCCAGGCCCCGGCATTTGCTGGTAATCTGTGTGCATTGAATCTCCTGGAAACCTCAAAGTCACGATTGCTGATTGCTGGAAAATGAAAGTAAAAGCGAGAGGACTCAGGGTCCCCCTGGGTGAGTAAGCGCTGTGAACCCACAGAGCTGTCCGGGGACCCCGCTGCCCCCTGTTCGTCTCGGTCCCCCCAGGAACCTACTGCAGGTGGGAGAATGACCCCCCTACTCCTCCATCAGCTCACCTCGAAGCAGCAAGTCAGAAATGTGAGCTCAGCCCCGCCCAGCAAGGACTTGGCGAGAACCTGCTTCACACAACCCTTCTTGGGAACCAGAGGCGGAACAGTGGGGCGGAAGGTGCTGGGCAGAGTTGTGGAGTCAGCCAGACCCGAGCTTTGTCCTGACTGCCCTTTCCTGCATGTGTACCTTGGACTTGTCACCTGTCCCCCCTGAGCCTGTTCTTCCAGGGCAGTGGGGACGCTGGTAGCTTTGGGAATTAGAAACGAAGTGGGAAGGAGTCCAGTGCCAGCGGCAGGACAGGTCCACACGGAGGCGCGCAGGCAGGGCCTCAAAAGCCTTCCTGCGCCCCACCGGCTGTGGTGCTGGTCCTTGCTGGCCGGCTTCGTGCGCCGGCTCGTTTCTTAGGCCTTGAACACAGCTGACGTGGGCTGTGTTCCCATTTCACAGAGAAGAATGCTTGGCAAACACTGCTTGCGCCCTGGAGTTCTTAGACTCTCCCAATCCACCCAGCGAGGTGTCTACCTTCCAGGCCCCAGGCAGGTCCGTGCTGAGGCAGCCCTGTGTCTGTCATGGATTCAAACGTGAGTTCGCTTGGTTTGAGCTGCAGTGGGAAACTCGATGACAGCAAGGTGCTGGCAGTAGGCTGCTCTGGGGACTTTCTCCCCAGGATTCGCCTTTGCCCCGCCCTGGCTTGGCACTTTTGTCAAAGCTGTTTGAGAAGCAGTGCTTCAGGTCAGGTTTGAAAACTAGGATGTCCGAGGCCGGGCGTGGTGGTGCACGCCTGTAGTCTCAACATGCGGGCAGCTGAGGCCAGAGGACCATCGGGAATTCGAGGCCAGTCGGGGCTACTTAATGAAACCCTGTCTCAGAAATCTAAAATAAATAAGAACTGTGTTGTCCAAAAGTCAAGGCAGTGGTGCTTCCGAGCTTCAGCAGAGGAGAGCGGGAACTCTTACGGGCCCGAGAGCACAGGGGCAAGAACAGCAGCCCTGGGTCCCTCCTTTCGTCTTCCACAGCCTGGGAGGTGGGTACCATGTCGCAGGGGCCCAGGGCAGCAGGTGGCAGAGCTGGGCCAAGTCCCAGCCAGGGCACCTGGAGCAGCGCAGTCTTTCCGTCCCCTCTGCCCGGAAGGCTCTGCCAGCGCTGCCCCCGAGTTCAGCCTCGAGCTGGCTTCCTTGCCCTGGGTGAGGACTTTTCCCGCACTTGGGCTCTCTTGCTGCTGTGTCTCTGCCCTTTGTGCCCCTTCCCTGGCATCTGTGCCCTGCAGCGGGGACAGGCAGTGTCCTGTTGTGTGGCCACTGGCTGGGCCCCAGCCCGGAGATGCTAAGGGCTGGGAGGTGTCCATACCCGCCGGCTTCCCAAACACACCCTTGCTGCGCTGCCGGCGCTCGCGTGAGGAGCTGTGGGTGTCCACGCTGGCGGCCCGTGGGGCCTGAGCCAGTCTCAGTCGGCCTCAAGCTGGAACTGGCAGCCACCGTGGTGGGAGGGGTGGGTGAGGGCGGGGCCCAGCCTGGGTCCCCCTCCAGGTCAGAATGTCCTGGGCTTCTGCAGCGCCCACCCAGGCCGGCACCCAGTGGGACGTAGAAGTGAGTGTTGCTGTGCTCTGGGGGTGCTGTTCTGTGGGTGGGGTGTCTTTCAGAGTGTGGAGCTCCTGTGCAGTGGGGGCAGCCCCTGGCGAAGGAAGGAAGGGAGGAAGGAAGCAGGGAAGAAACCTCTAGGCCCGGGGCGGCCCTCTCCCGGTCCCACAGCCAGTGAACTGTCCTTAGGGTGTGAGCCTAGGAGAGCTGCAGGCCTTCGGTTCCCGTGTGGCCGCTGGGTGTCACAGGTTCTCAGACACACTTCGGTGCCGGTGACACTGACATTTTGAGGCTGCTGGCCATGGGTCCGTGAAAAGAGCCTAAGTTGGTTTGCCTGATTTTCGTCACCATTAGACGTGACCTGTCACAAGCACACGGGAGGCAGACCTGGACGTGAGTGGTGCTGTCATTTCCGGCATCCGAGATCGCCTCACAGTGGAGGTCAGCCTGGTCACCAGCACTACCCCTGCCCTGAGGGCGGAGTGACACTGAGGTCGGCGGGTTTGGATTTAGGGCCTTCTTTCTTTATTTTGTTAATTTCTGATTCTTGTCGGTCGTGTTTGTAGGACATGATGATTGCATTCGTTGCAGGGATTGGTACGTGTGCATAGTCCATCCTGGCTCTTTTTCTCTTCTTCCCCACCCGTGCATTTATTTATTCAGTTATTTATCTGTCTACTGGTGTTGACTCAGACACTTATTTTACCCCTCGGTGTACAGTCCGACCCTGCTTTCTCTGTTTGCTCAGACTGTCCCAGCTCTCACCGT